CAATAGGATGATGGCATAGTGCCTAAGGCATTTGACTGCTTACCAGAAGGCTGGTGGTTCAAACCCACCAGGCACTCCTCAGAAGGAAGACTGGGCAATCTGCTTCTGTAGTGCCTTGGAAACCCAAGGAGGGGTTGTTATGACTCGGATCCAACTCGACGGCAGTGAGTTTGGGTTTTTTGTTTTGTTTTTTATCAGGTAAACATTATTTAGTCCCTAGTAGACCAATGCCCTACATAGACCATCCTTCTCACCCACAACCATGACATAGAGAGTCAGGACTGGCTGGGAAGTGGGCTCTCACCACGTGCTCCCTAAGGCACTGCACACTTCTTACAGGAGTATTTACACAGAGCTGTCACACTAGACCAGAGTTCACGTGAGAGACTCTCATGACAAAATTAAATACATCTGCCATTATTATCTAACTCTTCATCTCCCCAACTTTTACATTTGCTGAAAGTTTTTCATCCACCCTATCTGCAACCTCAACTCCATTCCAATGCCAGGAAACTTTGCTACATCTTCAGCTACTCCCAATATTCTTTTCATCTCCTTACCCTGGTTTTTCCCAGACTCTTCTCCCAAAGCAGATGCAGTTTATCAATTATCCCAGGGTTCTCAGGATTAGGAATAGAGGCAGATTTACTACGAAGTTCATGAAGCTTAAACTTCAGGGGTCTCTAACTTCCATAGGCTCCTTCTAAGGCCCTGGGAGGTACACTTACAATGTGTCATTTTTTTTTAATTTTCAAAGATAATATAGCTACATTTAATAAGTTTGTGGTTTTTCCCAGTCATTCACCAACACTTTGCGCCCTGTCAGATAGCATGGGAGTAATCAATTATCACTTTATCAGGCCTTTATCAAAGGCCTCTCATAGTTGATCAATTCCGGCTCAAGGCAGCTTTCTCACTTGGCTTCTAGTATACCACTTAGTTCTCATTCCTGTCTGCTTTGCTGATTCTTCGTATTTCTACCTTTGAACCCTGGAGTAACTCAAGGAACAGTCCTCTGTATGCATTTACTCCCTACTCTAGGGCCTAGATCTCACCTACCAAAGGATGAGATCACAAAATACCAAGTATCATTCATATTCCGAGGACAAGTGATTTTTATCTCCAGGCCAACCTTCTCTGAACTTCAGATTCATTTATGTAAATGTTTATTTATATATTCATTTATATAATGTGTAGATGTCTACTGGATACCTCAAACTTAACATATGCAAAACTAAACTCCTGTTTTTCAAGTCTTCCATTCTCATAAATACCAACACTACCCTTCTGATGCTCAGGCCAAAAATCTTTGGTTTATCCTTGACTCTTATTGTCTCATCCAATCCTGTAACAAACCCTATCATATGTCCCCTTACTATCGATGACTACCTCAACCAGTCCAGTACATCTTTGTCCAACCCAAGATCATCTGCCTTAACTACCTATATAGCCTAGTTTCCCCATTCCTGCTCTTGCCCCACTAAAATATTTTAATCACAAGAACCAGGGAACTTTGAGTTTACAGAGCAAATTCATTTTTCATACATTCCACACACATTTAGTCTCATGAGACTGCAATTCCCAAAACAGTTCTCTTCCACCTACCTCCCCCTGGTTACCCTTTCCCTGTCACTCTTTCCTATGCATTCCTACCTTCTGACCTATCACCCTGTGCAGATACGTTCTTCTAGTCTCCTTTGGTTGACTGTTGTAAGGAGTTACCTACCTGGTATAAATGTTCACCCATTATGCCTGTTTGGCTGGAAGCCACAAGTTCGATTGCAGGCCTGAAAGGTTGCTAGGGGACAGAGTCTCAGGGGTTTCACCAGTCTTTCAGTCTTTTTTTATAATTGAGTTTTGTTCCACATTTTTCTCCCACTTTATCCAGGATCTATTTTGATCCCTTTCCAAGTGGTTGACAGTGGTAGCCTGGCACATCTGGTTCTGGTTCCTTAGTCTTACAGGCTGAGGTTCACAAGGGCCACTAATCCCTTAGACAGTTTCCACGTCTTTGGTTTTCTTCATTCTTCACCACACAAAAGAAAAAAAAGATCAACCGTTAAATCTTAAGATGGCCACTTCCAAGTTCTTTAGACCCCAGTTGCTACTCATCAAGTAGGATGTAGAATGCTTTTGTTTACTGTGTTATGACAATCGAGCTTAATGTCCATCAGTGAACTTTTGAAAACCCAGTTCCAATTTATTCCTCTATTCACTCTAAATGTACACTTATCTCACTGTTCCAGTCCCTTCTTTGCCCCTAGAAGGCTCCATTCTCCCACAGGACCTTTCCCTACCAATGCTTAATAAATTCAACCCAGATGTGGGCATGGCTTCTCTGATCATTACTTACACACTTCTCTTTTTTTTTTCATAGCATGTCTATGAACATGCGCTACTTCCCCTTCAGGATATAAACCCAATTGAGAGCAATGTTTTGTTCACGACAGAAACCTCCAGGACACTGATGGTAGAGCAGTACTTTCCAAACTTGATTCCCTAACTATGGGGTAGAGCCAGGCTTCTCACTTCTCAAAGATCCAAGGCTACTTTCACTCCTAGTCTCATGTCATTAGCGTTCGGTTTGTCAAAGCCACATTATACTTACAACTCTTTATCAAACCCCTCAATAAATGGCTCACAAACTCATGATTTCTTACACAACCTGCACACCTCCTATTACTCCAGTTATTACTTCTTAGCAAACATGTTATCTGTACACAGCCATGTGTCTCGTGTACAAATGTGTATTTGCTGAAAAGCCAACTTTTACAGTAATTCCCAAATGCAAATTGAGACTCTTACACTAACAGTAATCACTGCTCAAATGCAAATTCTGAGACTCTTACACTAATAGTAATCACTGCTCCCCACTTGCACATTTGAGCAATTACCAAGTTTTCATCTGTGAAACATCACAAAAGCTAGACTGCAACCTTTGGACAAATGCCCAGAGCAGGTTTTAATGACACCCTTCCTTCCCAAAGTCGTTTTTCAAGAGATCTTTTACTCTCACTGTCCCAACTCACTGTAGTCAATTTCTCATCAGTTTATCTCAGTAAATATGCCACATGCTTCTGTATTTAGTATACAGAAGCAGATATTTACTACAGTAAGCATATTATTCAACATGTTATGCCAAGCATAAAAATAAAAGTAATGGAAACAATTTGCTCTTTATCCATAGATATCCTTTTCCAAATTAAAAATAAAACCAAAATTGGCAACGTCCACAGTTCAGTATCAATACTTCTTTAAGTGGGAGAAAATAAGCAAAGTATTTCAAAGATAAATCCACTGAGGAAGGTGATTGTGTATTTAAAGATTTTCATAACCATCAATTATTCCATTCACAATGAAATAGTCATAATTGAAGATTTTTTATTTTATGTACAAATAACTGGCATTGTTTCTTTTGCTGAGTAGATGTCTTGGATAATCCATTCAAGGAAGATCACTTAGTCCAACTGGGGGGAAAAGAAAGGAATAAATTATTTCAAATTGCTTTTAAAACTTCAGGTTTATGGTCACAAAATCTGCTTTACTACAGAATGCTATTAAAACTGGAAACTTAGCCCACTCAACCTAACTACCAAGATCTTAGTAGTTCAAATATTTACTGAACACCTACAAGCTGTTCCACAAACCTTATATTAGACCGCAATTTTCAGTACTGGCATTCACTTCTTCCTTCCAAAGAAATATTCCCAATATAAAACACTATTACCTTTATTATAAAATGATCTTTATCAAAAGCACAGAATGGTTTTAGGCAAGAAAGTAAAATTACACTACTACTATTTTGGTACTCCGTATGTGCCAGTCACTATGCCAAGAGGTTTCACAAATTAGCACACTCAATATGTGAGACACTAGGGACATACCAAACCAACAGGTGGGCAACAGTACATTCTCTCATCTGCAATATCACCTGCCTCCCACTAAGTTATCTGAACTCCTACAAAACATGTACTAGTTAAGTACTGGTTGACAGTATAAGCTTAAAACAGTTCCTGCTTCAGAGACCTCATATTCACATTTTACATCCACTATACCACAAGGAGAATACATGTTAAAAACAGGCAGGCTACAGAGACATTACCTTGCTTTACCAAGCTTAGCAAATACTGCATATTTTACAAACTGAAGGTCTGTAGCAACCGGGTATGGAATAAGTCAATCAGCACCACTTTTCCAACAGAATGTGCTCATTTCTTGTCTCTGTCACATTTTGGTAATTCTCACAATATTTCAAACTTTTTCATAATGCTATTTGCACATTTAGCAGACTACAGTATAATGTAAACCTAATTTACATGCACTGCAAAACCAAAAAATCCATGTGACTCACTTTATTGCGGTGGTATGGAACCAAACTCGCAAAATCCGGGGTATGCCTGCCCTCAATATCCTGAACAAAACTGAGTGTAAACCAGAAAACTGGCGATTTTATCTCAAAGAGCCACTAAGGAATTACTTTTCATTAAATGTTTTATTAATGAAGAGATTTTAGGAGCCAAGAAAGCTTCATATATACATTAATTTTTCCAACAATCCTACCATCTATTCACCACAGGCAGAAAATGGCCTTAAGTCCTTTGACCAAGTTCAGCAGACACTTGTCTCCTGAAATCCAGTAAGGTCTACCCGATCCCCAACGTCGAACTCATTTCAGCATGTCGCTAACATCTCTGGTCAGAAGTTAATGTATTTTGCTGAAAATGTCTACGTAATTATAAGGCCGATGAACTAATCTACAATCTAACTGTAAGTCTTCTGAAAAGCAATTTTATCCAACATAATATATTGGCGCCAAACTAACAAGTATGTAAAAAGGGTCCAGGCAGACTATTTTCAAGTCCTTCACCAAAACGACCTCCATTACATTAATCTCATTAAAAAAAGGGAGAGTAACTAGAAAAATGGAAATTACCAGACCCTGAACCGCGCCATGCCCCCTAGCAGCAGCCTTGGTAACTAGAACAGGGAAAAGGGGTTGGTCAAATGCTCACGTTAAGGAACTCTTTTCTACGTTCACAGAAACACGAAAACATGGCGTCCAGGACGCGTACCTTTATGAATCCTATATCCTTCGCGTACTGACGGAAACACTGACGGCACATATTGAGACCATATTTCCGGATCAGGCCGTGCCGGTTTGAGCACACGCGGCTGCAAGAGAAGTTGGCGTTATAAAAGTCGCAGAAATTACAAGATTCCACACTCCGGAAACCCAACACCCGCCAACAACCGGTATTCCCGACCCCACCACAGGCCTGTAATGGCGGCGGTCGCAGCCCCGATTCAGTCTTGACCCACACGCGCCGTCTGCGGGCGCCGCTGCCTCGATTTCACCGAGCCTAGAGACTGAAAGTAACCCTTCCCCAAAATGACATTCTGTTTCTCACCAAGAGCGTGACCCCTGGCCGAATTTCCGCGGGTGGCTCCAGTAGAGCTGCTGGTGACCCATCCTGCTCGGAGGTACGCACCAAGGCAAAAGGAAAGAGGCAGTGCACGCATGCTCACTTCAAGTTTTTGTGGGGGCGTGGGTAGGGAATTCGGTTTACCCAAGATTCACTGCTGAGATACAACGCGTGCGCAACAATGCTTCGCGATGAGTAGAAGTCTTAGAAACCATGTAGGCCCTCCCAGATGGTGATGTCATCGCACCTCAGCTTCTAAGGCTCGCCTAGCGCCAACCGTTACCGCCGGGCGCGGTGGCGCGCGCCTGTAGTCCCAGCTACTCGGGAGGCTGAGGCTGGAGGATCGCTTGAGTCCAGGAGTTCTGGGCTGTAGTGCGCTATGCCGATCGGGTGTCCGCACTAAGTTCGGCATCAATATGGTGACCTCCCGGGAGCGGGGGACCACCAGGTTGCCTAA